TTAACTATCATTTGGAGGATGCAGTAGCTAGGCATACCTAACATCAAAACAGCTTATGATGGATGCAATTTAGGGTGAACCCCCTAGGAGATGAGCCAATCCTGCTAGATCGATCTAGGTATGGAAATGGGATCTAAGACTTAACTAAGTTGTATTACATAAAGAATATAAAATGTAACTTGACAAATTTCTAAGGTTATTCAGCAAACTGTGACTATCATGACTGAGGTTTTTATTCTGTTGTAACAGTGGGTGTATATAAATACATTTTTTGTGGCCTAATCATTCTTAAAAGCTCCAAATCAAAATCTGCAGCAATATCATCTTTGCCCAGTTGGCTATCCTATTTTAGTAGTAAAAGGCCCCATTCAGAATAGGGGACTAATTAGTCCGAGGGTCAAATATGGTTGAGGCGACCCACTTGAATACTTCCCCACGGGATATTTATTCCATGTCTATTAGCAGATTAGACGGCAAGCTTTGTAGTGGGTCGCCATATTTGACCCACGGACTAGTTAGTCCCCTATTCTGAATAGGGCCTTAGTTTAGCCCAAGAACTTTTTTGTCTACTTCCCCATCACGTTCAAGCACATCTGACAATGCTTAAGTTTAATGTGTGCACCTTTAAATTAAACATGAAACTATTTCAATACTGACAGGATGATAAATAATGGCTCAAGCTGTATAAGTCCTATATTTTATTCTCAAGATTAGCTATGCCAGCTGCTCACTGTGAACCCCATGATAAATGTACTATAAAGTAATAGGCTATATTCTTTGGATGAAATGCATGATCATGCTCAAACAATACAAATATATCTGAAATTCCAAACATTTTTTTTTCCTCAATAAAATGAGAAATTTTCTGCAATCCACAATTTGTAAGCAATAGCACATGGAAACGCTTATCAATTGGATTGTAATATCGAAACTTCAGAATAACCGTAACCCAAAAAAACTGGTCCAAATTTTAAGTCTACTTTGACCCAAGATCAAACTCTGGTCTTAAAGTTGAAACCAATTTTCGCGCTAAAATTCTTTCATGAAACTAGCCTTGACTTCACCCTGAAACCCAAACACCTCATAAGGAACAACAGCATATCAGTAATTATAACCCAGGTAAACTGGGTTCATATACGTGTGTTATTTAATGAATGTAGATCTGTTTTGTTAACACAGAAATACTTCCCATTGTCCACACTGGTCTTATAACTAGCACCTGTGACCCTACGTGACTGGACACCACAACAATAAGGTGGACAGCACACAGGTAAGAACTCTAAACGGCCAGCATTATTTTTCTTCGTAAAGGTCCAGGTGTGGCCATTTGTTCCCATTGAAATATTGCCATCCTGCTTTAAATAAACAGCAACATCAATAAACAGCATATATCTAAGTCCATGCCAGTCTGATGTTATAACAAAATACAACCCCAGGTGTGGAAGAAACACATATGGCATATCCTCAACATCAACTGAAGTGCTATAGCAACAGTAATTATCTACACAGCCCACTGTAGTCCTCAAGTTTTTACAATACTGAATAATTTGATATTGCAGCAATACTGAATAGAAACGACAGGACAAGTGAGCATCACAGAAAGAATGGCCATTCAAGACTTGTCTTTTCTGGTAAAATTCATACAGTAGTATCCGCACATCCTTTTCAATAATATGAATAGTTTCTATGGGGCCAATCTCAGCAGACAGTAGCAATTTTCTTAATTTAACTTGTTGAGCATTTGAAACAGATATCTTGGTTTAAGTGTGTAGTGAAAACATGTTAGTCACCCAAAACTATGCAAAACAGGCTTTTGGGGTTTCTTATTACTACAAAGCATCTACCATCAGAAACACAACTGCCCTCTACAACATCTATCAATGATGTGAGACCTGCTGTGCTGTCAAACCAATCAGTGACCCGGGACCTGCCTTCTCTGAACCATCATGTCCCTGGGGCCAGTTTCACAAAAGAACTTCAGCCCTAAATCTTGGCTTAAAATTGAGAAAAGAATTTAAAAGTAATTGGTCTATTTTAAGCCAAGATAACATCATAGTCCTTTTTAATATTGTTACAAAACTGTCTGCCATGACGTTTTTCTTGAAATAAAAAAAGAGAATTTAATTTAATTTAACTGAAGTACTACTGTCAAAGTAGACTAAAATTTAGGTCTAATGGTTATATTAAGACCAATTTTCAGAAAGAAATATTTTCTGTAAAACCTGCCCATGCATTTTTTTCCCACTCCTAATGTCCGACCAGCTGCATTCACACCCGGGTCTACCTGCTCCCTGCCATAGCCAGTCACTGACCCCAGACCTCCTGCATTCAGCCAAGAAATGAGATTTCTTTCTGTGCATAAAACTAATCTACTCTAGCTGTTACCTCAACATATTTACTGCCATTTATCTTTTACTGATCATTTTACCTCTACTGAACCAGTGTGTGTGTGTAAGTATCTTGGTTGTAATGCTATTCCTGTGGCTGACAAACTCCATCACCAGAAGGTGCTAAGCTCCTTCAGATCTGCCCTTAATAAAAGCCAGCACAAAGAGAAAATGTTTTTTGGGCCCATTAAATAACACTTTTCGGAATTACAGAAAGCTGAAACTGATGAATCCAGATAAATTGAACAAGATTTGAATCAATACCATAAGGTTTAATTTGAATTTTCCGTTTTTGAAATTAATGGTGAATTTAGGAATCTCTGACATTTGGAATTCAAACAATCAGCAAAACCACTGAAAATATGAAAAATATTATTACAAGTTTGTTTCTTTAAAATATAAAGGCAAATAATCAAGACAAAATTTATTTTTTCATCAAAAGGCAAATCTACTCTAGAGGTAAGAACAATGCTTGAGAGAAAGAATCTAGCAAACCCCCTGCATTCTAACATGCTACACCTTGCTGTACAAAAAAACTTGAAAATTCTACATAAAAATATTCCTTGAATAGGGCAACCTCAACAAAGACCACCAAATTATGACCACATTCTTTCCTGCACAGCCAAATTACGCCCTGCGTTAAATTGCACTTGAAGCTGAAAGTGGACTCAGGGCGTACATCTGGTAATAGGAGTTGACATCCTTAGCCGACTTCACATCACAAACTGTTCTGCTACATCTCCCTAGAACAACACAGCTGAGGCTCACAACACCCTGTGTTTCAGAGGTCACTGGAAACTTGTATCTATCACTGGTGTGGCAGCCTCACAACACAAACTACTTTGTTTGATCAAAGAGCAATAATACATTAGAGGCATCACATCACCCCGAGTTTCAGAGGTCGCTGGAATCTAGTCTCTACTATATCAACAAGCCTCTTCTGTTTCAAGATTCAGAGAAACAGAGGTGAGTTGAGAATCTAGTTCCCAGTGACCTGTGAAACACGGGATGCTCTGCTGAGGGACACATACATACATACACAGCACTAGAATGTGACCTTCTACTCAACCAGAACCTAATACATAATGTCAGGGCTGGCAGAACTAGCAGTTAATTTCCTCAGGTGCAGCCTGCAATTTGTTTAATGGAGGAGAATATGTCTTAACATCATATCATGTGACATAGCATGCATTCTATATAGCCGATGTCAATTAGCTGTGTTTTTCATGGTGAAAAAGATATGTCGAGACTATATTACATCTTTCCCCTGCATATATACAAGTATGTACATACAAAACATAACATTCCTGTTTTTATTTGCATGTATATAAATGCAAACAAAAAGGGTAAACAAAAAAAAAGAGATCTTACAAATTATGTACTACACCTTGCTTACCAAAACAAATAACAATGCAGACAACTGGGCAAATATTTCCCCTCCAGTTCATCTCAAACATCCATTTCAAAAGTATCCGATTTTTATTTGTGCAAAGCACCCCCTGTCTCTTCATTATCAGTACCTTAGTATAATTTGTATCCTCACACCATGCTATGGTTATTCCTCTATAAATCCAAACAACACAAATAAATTATTTTTCAAAAACCATACTGTCAATGATACTTTAGCCAACTCAAAGTTTTCCAAAAGTTAGTTGGCTTCACTACAAAGAGTACATTGCTGTGAGTGTCTAAAATTGACAAAAAGTCAAAAATTTTAAAAAAGAGGTGTTCAAATATACGAGGCAATTGCAGTATTATACCGGCTGTCCAATTCTTTATCTGCCGTCCATCAAAACAAGGTGATAATTCAATACCTGTTCTCAGCCTTATCACCCAGACTGATCACAAAAACAGCAAATTAAACATTTCTGCTAAGAATATATCAGATGCTTAACTCAATGAATACAGGGTTTTAATTTCAGATTTTTTTTCTCAAGCAGTCATCTGTTGGAAACTCTCTCACATACTAGTATATGCTTTTAATCTATCATTTGCTTGCAGGTCCAAGCACTTTCACTTTAAACGAAATTCACTGACAGCAAAGATATACATCTATCACCAAAATATTTAAGTCAAACTAATATCAAACTAAATTGAATACCTGCAGATTAAAAATAATTCACAAATGTCAAAAGAGGTCATCACCCGCTAGTCCCACATATCTTTGGACCTTTTGGCATACTATTCATTGCCCACCTCAATATCTTAAATCCCCATAGGGTAGATCTCTTGAACCTATTTAACCTGTATCATCTTCCCTGGGGTGTCATTATACCAGAGCCAGACGGCACTAAAATCAACTATTTCATCAATATGGTAGTAGCCAGGGCCTGTATTACCTGATCAAAGGGTGACAACTAAGTGTACAAATGTATAATTATATATGTTTCCTTTCTATATTGTTGGTCCCCTTTGTTTGCAGGTTTCATCACATTAGGAATATTTTACCTTTTAAATTGTGTTTCAAAAGCTATGTTTCTGTCAATTGCTATGGTTTTATATTATATATCACCTGAATACTGTAAATTTCTGTTATTTTTTCATCGTATATTATTTACATTATAATTCGGGCCCTAGGGTATATACATATCTCCACTAGCATGTTGTGCTCACCTGATCCCGTCCCCAGGGTTCAGTGTCATTCTCCTTGGTTTCCCGTCCCCCTCGTAGCTGGCTGGCTGTCTCTTCTCCACTGTGGCAGCCTTAGCTGCAGCCAGCAGCGTGGTCTTTTTAGAAGGCATACATACAGACATACATATAAATCATATGACGGAATGTAAAGAAAAAATATCCTGTTCTCACGAATTGACAGAGAGAGAAGTTTCTATAAAGGGAGCATGCCTGGTTGGTGTTTCCCTTTGTATTTCAATCCTATTTCCACACTAGTTTTATCAGCTTTTGAAAGTTTAGCCCACTTTTCTGTGGCCCTAAGTGTCAGCTTGCTTCCTCCTGAGCGTTACCTCTTCTCCATCATATTCCTCCCTTCAATAGGGCTCCCGCGGAGAGCAAGGGATCTAATACATCCTACTCACCAAGTCATTCCTGTTCACAGTACCTTCTTACATCGCCCAGTTCCACTTGAACAGACAGAGCAATCCGTCAGCGTCAAACTCCCTGCAGCAGCACTGTCCCGTGGTGAATCCACCTACAGTAATACTACAACGTGGTCACTGTGCCCTCGGCAACACTAATCAGCTGTATATTTCCTGTACAACTCTGGGAGCTGCCACCACTGCAGCTATATTTTCCTGTCAACAGTACAAGTGCTAGATTGTACACTTATAAATTAAAAAAATTGGCAAGATTCTGTGGCGTGGCTGGTTATGAGAAAAATCATCCAACTTGCGATATGTTATTATCCCAGACCCTCCAACTTCACCTAATTTATAACCCACAAAAATCCCATGCTCCAGAGTTGTATGTCTGTCTACATTAATGAGCCTTGCTGTCAGTTTTTCACACACCTCTGCTCAGTACAATAGGGTAGAGTGCAATTATTCGGGAGTAGTCAAATGCTCAGAGTATGACTGATCAACACAGTGGCACTTCTACTTCAAATATTGTGTCACTGTGAGTAAAACAGTGCTCATCACACTGTATCATCCCCTCAGGCAGGTCATTACCATGATGTGGATGGCATAAACCACCAACTGACAATAACAGCCCAGATTTGACACCAGTATTACTATATAGTCCACAACAGAGGTGGCTGTGAAGATCTAGTCCTACTCCTTCCCAGTGGCTGTCAGCGCAGTCGAAGTCAGCGACATGACCTTATTACTCAATCTTACTCGAGATGTCAGAGCTCATGCTGTCATTCCACTGAGTTCCCACACTGAAAGGCATGCACCTCCGCTTTATGACACAGCAGTTGTTCGCAGAGCCAATAAATTCCTCAATTATCTTTGATGATCAATTTATGGGACTAATTTTTTCAGGGTAATTATAATATCCCTGCCTGCAGGTATATATGGGCATTATCTTTCAAAGTGAATTCTAGGATTTATGCCTTTGATGATTTGGTTGTCTTCCCTGTACTGATTGTGGCAAGTGTGGCAAAAATCACTTTTTTGCTATTTTTTACTTAATTCTGCAGAGCTCCTCTCATCTAGCAAAATAACTGAAGGCAGCTCATTCAAAGCTTCACCCAGCTTGTCTGTATCACTGATACAATACCCACCAAAGTAATATAACTGTCACCAAGGTAATATAACTGAATCTTCTCTTAAGTTTCCCCTACTAATCACAATAACATTTAGCTGTTCCGTACCCTGGCACCATAGCCTGCGGCTCCATCAAGTATGACCAGATATAATCTCCTTTCCCAAGGTGTCACTATCTTTGTCCTTTTCTGTCTTTGTCTACAGATATCAAATGGTCAAATTGCCCCAGGACTGGGAGCTGGTAACCGATGGAATGTTTATAAGGAGATAGGACACTAAATAAGCTTCAGCAAGTGCACCAGACCCTGAATGGAATGATCTTCAACTTGAGAAAAGTCCTGAATGTTTATATCAACAACTGTATCTCTGAGCCTCAGATGTAACACCTTGCAGTACAGACTTCAATATTCTTGATGAGGAAATAAAGAAACCTTTCTCTTTCGCCCTCTCCCCCTTGCTTATATACAATGCCTCCTCTTTGCTGACTTGTGCCTGAGTGAAGGGGGAGAACTTTTCTGACCTGCTTAAACTGTACTCTGGTAAAGTGACACCTATTTAACAATCTGAGCACTGGTCCAATATTCTCCTGGGGGAGATACAGATGGGAATATGAGATAACATGGTGATGATGATGATAATGATGTGGCTCCCATGTGGATAGTGATTATAGAGAGAGCCCTTATAAAAAGATTTGCCCCTATAATTAGCTAATCCATAATAGAGAAGATAATGATGGCAATAATTTAAATGATGGATGGATGAGAGAGCGGATGTAATTTACAAAAGTTGTTTTATCTGATTTGTAGCATTTGTTGCATATCATATACCACCATGGATTACATTTATGAGACATTTGAAATGGCATAATTTAATGTAAATGACAAATATCTATTATTGTGACTCACAGTAATCTTAGAATTGGCCCCCACATTCATTAGCTTGACTCAAAAATTACCCCTAAATTAAAAACCTATTGGAAACCTTACCTGCGAATGAAAAGGTGAGCAAAGAAATGGTCGACGATATATAACGATAACTGACATCATTTGTGTGTATCACACTCTGCTGTTATGTGCATTACAACAAGGACTATGTTTCCACTAGTGACCACACCTATAACCCCCACTTCTCTGGTTAACAACCCCAGAAGTAATCAACACAAAAAATGACTGCAAATTACCATCAATTTTATCATTTTATTCATTTCAAGTCCCCAGAAAGAGGGGGGGGGCCCCCCTCTTTCATATTCAGCCAAATCAAAATGGCACTAAATAAAAAAACAAACTTACGGAGGAATAATTATCTATTAGCTATATTATTCGCAAAATACCAGCTACCATTAGTAAATATGTAACAAAGTCATCTGTCATTTATCTGGATTAATCTGCAGTTTTTCACAACATAATCTAGATATCTCATCAAATGTTAAATCATTGATCATGTTACTCAACTTTTTGTGAAAATATTGGCTTTCCAACAGTGGCATCATAAAGTAAGTGGAAAGCTTGTACGATCAATAAACTTTTAAATAAAGTAATGTTTGCACTGTCATTTCCCCTGTTGTTTGCCTGATACATATTTCATCTCCATTCCACTTAGACTTGACTGTTTTTTTATTAAGTTTTTTTTTATCTATTTATTTATTTATTTTTTGCCAAACAACTGAAGCAAAGATAATAGTTGGTTTGAACTGAGTTTGTCTATCAAAACAAACAATTTCAACTCCCCCCCACCCCCTTCCCTTCCCTACCCTTCAGTCCTGCCTGTGTAGTTTCCCCATTTACATATACTAGTAGTATTTCAATTCCACCACAGTCAAAGCATTCTGAATGTTTTTTCTTCCTTTTAATATACAAATTATGTATTACTGTCAGGACCTCAAAGGTCCAAATAGAGAGCTTTCACATCCATCCAACCCTATATTTTATTTCACCCCCCCCCTCCCCCCACCATAAAACATAGGAGAAACTACCAGCAGTCCACTCCATATTACACAAAAGAGCATGTACTAAAAAAAGTAGAGTTTATCAATATATAATGAGAGATTGATACTGGGACTTTTAGCATACAAAGGGGAATTCTTATGAGACAATTTACACCATTAGGCTTGGAAAAACTGAACTGTTATGTTTTCAATGCCACACCTTTTTTTTCATAAAAGAGATCGACTTCCATGAAAAAGGGAATTGACTTTTTTCTCATTTCACTGTCTCAAACAGTAAAAATGATCCAACTTCAAAGACCTATCAAGTCTATTTCATAGCATATAAACATTATTGATTATAAAAAAAAATCTGTGTAAATTGCTGGTCACATTTTTCTCTTGTAAGCAGCTTTTTAATGTTACTCATACCTTCTTTCAGTCTTCGACTTGTGCATTTCTTTCTCTATTTGTTTGCTTGCTTTACTTTTTTACAAATGAAAAAAAAAACTTAATTGTTACCATGCTATCAGAGCACATATGAATTCATTAATGCGCTGCCAGTCTCATCAAAATACAAAGAAACTCCTGTTTCAGATAACCTCTTTAGCTTTTCAGCCTCTCCTGCAATCTATTCTGTATAAAAGGTGCATAAATAATATTCCTGCCTTTTTCTAATGCAGACATTTGCACCCAAAACAAAACCTTAAAAACATGAGAGAATCATTAAGCATTAAATCTCAAAAACATGAGAGTATCATTAAGCGTCTGTCACAGCAACTTAGTCGGATCTTCAGGCATCCAATGTCATGTTCGGCACAACAAAGTCGCAAAACTGTGGCATAAGATCAGTGTCAGTCTGTGCTTTTTGCCTTGAATATCAGCTCAAATCACGAGAAACACCCCTAAACTGTGGTTTTTGTGGTGCAGTGATTTTAATCTCCGGCAGGAAAGTTTGTGTTAAATGAAACCACAAGTAAGAGGTGACAGTCTCAAATGGCTGAAGAGCTTTGACGACTAAATGGGTAGGCACTTGTACAGATAGGTATTATTATCGAGGCAGACATCACTCCAAGTCAACAATAACAATATCTTTCCTTCAGACTGAAGCACTATAATAATCAAATCACTCAGACAAGCAGAAAATTGCATCAAGATAAACTATGTACCTCTTTTTATCATTTTTTTCCAGGATGGAAAGAAATAGAATTGACTACGACAGGCCTCTTAAAACACAGCCATGATGTAATTTTACCTCCAACATCAAACGAAAGGTATAAGTATGTTTACATCCTCCTCAACCCACACATAGAAGTATATATCTATTTCACATCAAAAGAACCTCTCCTCTTACGTGTACCTGCCCGCCCTGTACGCCCATGTAACCTTAGCACAGCAGGTAATCACACCTCTCTATCACTTACAAAACCAGATCTTCTCTCAAGTCTGGCGCCACAGACATACAGCCCAACTATTGTAGCCTTCAATATCTGACAAACATAACTGTTTAAAGCCAATCTGGCAGTCTATGATGTCTATATTAGCTTGTACTAGGGGAACTTCCACAAAGGAACTTCAGACAAGAATGTGGTCTCGACTTAAAAACCAAAATTTCATGTCTACTTTTTACACAAGATCAATAACTGAATAATCTTATTAATCCACTTCATTGAAATATTGTGCCTATTTTCTATTTATAAAGAAAGTAATGGCAAATGTCTCAGACAATTTTTTTTTATTTTTTTAAATTTTGATTGACTACTTCAGATTGATCCTAAAATACCAAAAGTTTCAATCTAAGTTGGACAAGGTCAACAGATGACATGTTTTGGCTCTAAATTGGTTGAGGTCTAAATATGTCTGAACACACCTAGGCCCGAATGAGAGATTCCATTTGGATTTGACTGAAAGATGCCTGCACTGACATTGACATCTTTAAAGCAGATGATGAACCAAAGGCAATCACTCATAAAAATCATAATGCTAGTTCATGTAATCCAGATATTCAACACATTCTTTTTGTTCCAGCACCATAGTTGTGGTACTAGACCTATTGCCCTAATGCCGTGTAAAATCCACTGAATACTTCAAATCGCTGCTGTTTATGTCAACATCATGCGGGCACTTGGTTCATTCAAAGATGACTTCTTTGAGACAGTGTCTAGAGTTTTGAGAAATAATAAACCTCAAGATCTGAATTGAAGTTAACTTGCAACTTATTCCATGATCTCCTAAAAATGTTTGATTACTTGTTTTTTCACGTTGAAATAGGGGTTCATAAAATACAAGTCAATAAAATAAAATAAACAAGATGTTTTGATATGCCGTTTGTTTGTTGCTCCGTCCCTCTGCCACTGTCATTTTTTTTTTCTTCTTTTTTTTTCCAAGGTGACATTTGTGGCAGATACATATGGAAGATAATAAAAGATGATTAGATGATTAATTTCATCTCAAACACCTTTGCCTTTCAGCCCGTCACTTCTGGTACCATTTTCACACAAAAATTAATGATTCTAGGCAGAACAAAGTCAAAATATGATGAAGAGTAATGATTTGACTGAGACCCATCTGGTATTTTTTAAGTCTTTTACATCAGACAAAGGGTTGATGCTTCAAGCCTACATTCAGGATACATCACAGGAAGAGGTGCTTGAAAGCACTTGTAAATGTAGTTGTATGCCAGCCAAGCTTTCTGTTCACTTGATTCAGCTGATCAGGATGTCGGAAGCACACAGCAATTGATACAAAGATGAAATAATTTCCTCGTCCAAGTGTTCTAGATCCCAATGGATATCATTTCACATGCAAAGTAGAGAGAGAGAGGGAGAATTTGTGCTATGGAATTTCAATAATAAACATAATATACATCTGTGAAAAAATTATGGTGAAATATTGTGGATGAAATCTAGAGGGCATGAGAATATTAATGCAGGGTTACAAAAGCTGATTAATATCATTTAATTTAAACAATCTCTGTGCAAAAAAGAAAAAGTAAATCAACATTTAATACTGATCCATAAAAAAAGCAGAAGCATCAGGTATTTTTTATTAATCAGTGTCTGTGTTACATGACTGAACCCCTCTACACAGCATGGTAATGTGAAATCCAAGACTGAAATAACCAAGATGTCATGATCTTATTTATAGCTCTGGATTTAAACTACATAATGATCAAACCAAACCATAATTGCCAGTGAAATCTTTCATAAGTTCACATGCTCCATAATTTGTCATGGCATACACACAACATATATTTACTGCCCTATTAAAAGACCCACAAGGTTATGCAAGGCGGCGAGTAAGTAATACCAGAAAAACTTCGTTGACCAGCTGCCACTGATCCCAAGTAATTTTTCTTTTATCAGTAATTAGTAAAGGTATCAAATGCAATGTGTGGAAAAAAAAGCATAAAATACCAGGCAAATGTCTATAAATAATAAGAAATATCTACAAGAGTGCAACCCTGAAAATGCCTAACTTGGGACAACCCCAATAAATTTATCAAGTATAATTTAAGGCAGTTTTAAGGAATCTAGTTTTTTTTCCTTCACATGAATCACCAAGGAGTGCTCCCTCTCTTTTTAAAATTCTTTTTGGTGCTCTTGAATGTGCTGTCTTTGAACTACCTCTGCATAATACTTCACAAA